CCGGTCACTTTAGTTGGTTTTTCTAATTCTTCTCGCACAACGGCACTTGATATCTGATCTTGTTATTTCATTCCTACCATTGATCTCAAAATCTTTATTTCCGTCGCTTCCAATCATCTGTTTTAGCTTTGCTAAGCGTTGCCATCTTCAGGACGTAGAATAAGATATTCAGAACGCACGCATGTATACCAGCAGCTTTCTATAATTGTCAGCATAATAGTACTAGAGAAGCAAAAAAAGTTTTTGCGCTCTGCTAACGTCAGCACAATGTATCTTAACACTAGTTTTTCGTTCATCCGCCTGCAGTTAGCATAATCCGAGGATGCACATGTTCGGGCACCTTTTCCAAAGTTTCTACAGTGTCAAGAGTCAGGCAATCATTCAGTCAGATAGTAGTCTGGGTTCCAACAATTTCCATTCACTTCTTCTTCCTTAAAGTAAGCGTGAGATCCATAACAAAACACCGCTGTTCCAAAGTTAGGAAGTGTTACGTCGCAGCTTCGAAGTTATCAGTGAGCAACATGATACCATCCGCAAAATCAAGACAGCTATCGCAGATGTTACCCACTTTCGCCGCCACCGCCGAAGCCTCACTCCTTCGTATTGTGTGGAACACTCCGTTCAGAAACCTTGCAACAGTACCAGAGATGACTCCCCCCCTTGTGGCATTTCAAACTTTGAATGAAAGAATTTTTCGAATCTGCAATCAATTTGCACTGAACATGACGAAAGATCTTTTAAATTATACTAATAACATTTGAAGGGATTTCATATTGGCCACCAAATTTCTACATTTAGTCATCAAACTCTTTGGTGAAAAGGATATAAGATGCAAAGAATTTGGATCCACACTTTCTTCTTTCAATAAGTTTATCATTGTCACTATCTTCTTCAAACATTCTGAGCCTGACCAAAGTCCACACTGGTCTTCACCAAAAATGTTGTAAAGATAGTGTCTTATCCTGTTCACCAAAACACGCATGGACACTTCAGCAGGAACGGATAGTAGGCTGATTCGACGGCAGTTATTTATATCTGAGCAACAGCTTTTCTTGAAAACTGGGACTACAGTACTTTCCGTTCAAATCATTGGGATCTCAAATCTGCCATACCAGGTCAAAAAGATCCAGTAACGCCAGCACTTTGTTCATTCCAGGCTCCTTAATTAATCTTGGCTGTATTTTATTAATTCCATCATTGTCACTTTTCAGTTCGCTTAACGCGTCAATCACTTGCGCGAGGGTCAGCAAGTGAGCACCAATATCACACAATGAATCTTGTTCCAGTACCAAATCAGGGATTCATACGCATTCAAAATGTTTTACACTGACTTATGTAGGATCAGACATGATGTCCGTCCTCCTTCTTAACGAATGTTATTCCAAGTTTCACTTGGTCGAAGCAGCAACGGACTTTCCTGAACAAGGTTTTCATATCGATTTACCGAGTCCCAACTTCCACTATTTCAACCTCTCACATCTAGGAAAGTGCTTCATCTATGCTTGATGATGTTTAAACCTTTTTCATGCTTCTCTTCTGAAACTTTGCCTGTTATAGTCTCTCGTTCTTACAAGCCTTTTGTTTCTAAACTTATCCACCACCTTCTTGGTCTCTTCATCCCTCCCAATTGCTCTTTTACCCTTGCTATTACTTTTTCTTTGTATATGTTCTAATAATTTTGCATTGATGTATCGCCTGCATAATCAATAAGAGGATTAAACTTTCCATTCATCGTGACGTGATACACTTGTGATACATGGGGTCATTTAAGCTTGCTGACTTTGCAAACTTTGCGGTACAGCTTTTGGTTGCTAATCAATGAACGGAGCTTGGCTTTAGCTCAAGCTTTCTCCATGTGGTGGTTGCTACCGAAGGTTGTACAGAACCTTTTTACACTCGGACGTCTCCTACAGATAATCGATTACTTCTGAAGACGAAAACACGGTCGAGCCGGATTTCTGTAGATTAATCGTCGAGTAGCATGCGAAATTATGCGTTGATTGTACAATTCTGTTAGTCGTTTGTAGCTAATACTGTATAAGCTAACCCATACTATATAATCCGACGCATCTACAGAGCTCATTGTTTTGTTTCAACTTACTCACTGGAACCACCCACATCAATCAATACAACACGGGCGCTGCTGGAGCAATAAAGAGCGGCCTAAAATTCTTCCTTAACCTCGTCTGGTGAATCTTCGACAGGGGCATAACATACAACCAATTACCACCAGGCTAAACATGTGGTCCGTGGACTTGAACCCAGCCATAATCGAAATACACAAATTAAAATGATCGATTACGTACAATAACTAACTGATATAAAATAAACGTGCAATATCCGTTTCCGTTCAAAACTTAAAAAAATAGAACTAAATTTCTGTGCTATGCCAAAATTAAACACTCATTGAATTTTACTAACGTGTCATTATAACATGGCTCAATGACAAAGAAAACGACAGTGGGAGCGAACAGTCGGAAATTGGAATATATCCTCACTCAGAGAGAAAGAGAAACAGCTAGTTGACGAGGCCATAAACTACCAACTCGACATAGTGGGATTCTCGTAAACGAAACGACAGGGATCTGGAATCCTAAACCTCACCGGATGGAAGCTATTCTACTCAGACGTCGATATCACGACTCGCACTCAGGCAGATGTTGGGGTTCTGGTAGAACCCAACCTCGCCGATATAATCATTGATTGGAAGCCTGTCAGCGGAAGGGTGGCAATCCATCGACTGAAGCTACAAAAGGTACAGGTCTATGTGCCCAAACTGGAGGGAGAATATGAGACTTTCCTTGAAGAAGTGCAGCGTGCTCTGTCAGAAGTGCCGAATACAGAGTCCCTCATATCGATGGGCGATTTTAATGCGCACGTCAGAGTAGACGCTGAAAAGTGGTACGGTGTGATTGGAAAGAACGGCCCTAGCGACCTCAACAATAACGGCATGAAG